GGATATCTACTTGACACCACTTGCTGTGTGGGTGGCTTTGGCAGGGGCTTGGAAAAAGACACACTCTCGCTACGCAAAAAAGTCATAACACTAACACAAAACGATCACCCAGCGTTCATTTTACTCTCATTCGGATCTAACACTCTCACCCTGGACAAATTTGACGACGGTCTAAAAACTGACACCGACGTTATAGTGCAAAATGTGTAGAAACGCTGAAGGACGTGGCTAAAACGGTGGAACTACAGTCAGTGGCCCGCATCATCGTCCTGGGTCCCATCCACCCCAAGGGGGTGGACGTTGCAGACGTTAAAGCGTTCAAAGGAACTCGGCAACGGTTATGCAAACACTGCCAAAACGTTGGGTCACTACTTTGTCGATGTCATCTCTCTTCTGAGTGACCAAGATGGTCGCATACAAAAATCATGGTATGCTGATGCCTGGCACTTAAATGATGAAGCGATGAAAGTTATCTGGCGTGCGATTATCCGCGTCCTGTGGACACCAGTGACAACTGACGTGTAGCGTGAAACTCATCAAGAATACCAGCTTTCTGTGTGTAATCATTCTGGAAAATTCCGCGCATCGGTGCGGTGGTTTCATTTAGCCGTGTTCTCATTAATCTTCCACATTTACCGTAAACACTACACTTGCACTTCTTTCTCTTTCGGTGTATAGCGGGGAGTGGTGTGGCTACTTTTTGCTAACCTTTGTTCGACTTTGCATTCCACACGGGTAAGGGAAGGGCACTCCTGCCTATCCATTAATGGGTAGGGGCTAAATTTATCACAATTCACATTCCTTTACATTAATTGGTATAACACTTTGTCCGTTATCGCCATATAACAAACAGCCAGATTAGACGCTTTGAATGACTGCAAACGTACATAAACATGTGTTCCCTACACAAAAATATACCGTTTTTTTTTGTAGTTATACTGCATCGCTTATGGGTCATGTCCCTTACGCCTTTGTCTCAGCAACAGTATTTTTCATCATCATCATTTCATTATCTTTCCATCATTATCGGGCCGACCGCCACAGCCGGTCGCCGCGTTGTTGGCAGTGACCTATCAGCGGCCGGCACGGATAAATGCATGATGCTAGAATCATTCGGTCGAACCCATGCTCAGCTGGTAATCGTCGATCTCGATGCATATGTGCCGACATCACGGAGCAGGTCCGTAGGGCGGCGTTCCGGCAGTTTTATTCTGCCACCAGCATCGCTGAGCAACGCAGCATGCTCTCAAAGTCGATATCGATCGTCAAAAAACAATGTGGGAGCAGCAGACGCGTGGTTGTCGCTTACACAATACAGAGGGAGAATGGTGAGCGACTGCCTGCCTGCCGTAAATTTCTGGACACACTGGACATAACAGCGGAGCAAGTGAGCAGTCATTAAGAACACGACATCCGACCATCCGCAGACGACGCGCCGAGGTGGCGCGCGTCACTCGGTCGACCCGCAGAAGCTGGACGCGCTGCGCGCCTGGATCGGCGCGCTGCCCGCCGTGCCGAGCCACTATTGCCGCTCTAAGTCAGCGCGTCGCTTCCTGCCGTCTGACGTCAGGAGCGTGCAGAATTTATACAAGAAGTATCGCACTGCCGTTTCGGGACCACTCAGATTCAGGGTTTTCAGGAAGATCTCCAAGACCGAGTTCAACATCGGCATCCACCAGCCTCGCAAAGACAAGTGCAGCATGTGCACGCAGCACAAGCGTGGAGACGGAGGAAGACAGGAAACGTCCAACAAAGACCTCATGGACCTGATGCCGGACATCCGCCGCGTGACAGATTCGGAGCGGATCAGGTAGGTCGGCCAAAAGCCCCGATCATGTGATACAGGTCTTGGCGGCTATAGCACGCCTCGAGTCACGGCGCATCATTCTGCCATCCACGCGAGCGCGAAAGCAGCGTGCGCGCCGCCTCGGACATACTGCGTGACGAGCTGTGCGTTCGCGGAGGTAACCGAACCCTCTGAAAGGATTGTTAAACATCACCACACCCAGCCCACCACGAGTCCAGGGGACCATCTGGGCCCCTGAACTCTCCACCCAAGACACTGCATACATCCAGTCAAAACTCGCCATCCAGCTCGTCACCGCCGTCTACCGACAACCGCGCGGACCACGAGCACTCCTCCATCTCACTTTCAACACGACAGAACTCCCGTCTCGCATCTTCGCCGGCTACCTGGCCTACCGGGTACGCCGGCTGATCCCCAGACCGCGGCGGTGCACGCACTGCCAGCGGTACGGACACCTCTCGGCAGCCTGCCGTTCAGGGGTGGTCTGTGGGACGTGTGCTGGTGACCACGCAACTAACACTTGCACAAGCACGCACAGAGAGTGCGCCGCCTGTGGGGGCGGCCACTCCATCACGGCCAAGGCCTGCCCCAAGTGGCAGATGAAGTCGGAAATCTGCCGGCTCATCGCCGTGGAACACATGGCCCCGCGGCAGGCAAGGAGCCTGATGAAGAGGGAGTATGGGTTTCAGTCGCCCAACCCTCGCCGTCGCATCGACAACGTCCCACGGCCGCCGCCAGTGGACTCCACAAACTACCCACCACTCATACCACCCACCTCACCCACCACACCCACGACAAACACGAGCAAAAGCAGCACACCAACCACAAACCAAGCATCAACCACACACAGCACAACCACCACGTGTGACTCGAAAGAAGACCTTTTCTCGAGTCAGGGCGCCCGACCAAAGGGCTCACCCGTGAACACTGCCCCCTCCAAGGAGTCGGGGCCCCACCCAGACGGTGGCCCCCCCCCCCCCCCCTACACGGGACGAGGCCACCTATCAGTGGGTGACAGCCACCACCAAGAAAAAACGACGAAGCAAAAGCCTCTCATCCAGTCACACATCACCCGAGCGCCGCCAGCCCAGCCGCAGAGCCCGGGGACTCCAAAACACACAATAAGTCATGGGACACCTCGAACGAAACATAAACATACTCCAATGGAATACAAATAGGAGGTCTCAGGTCGGTGCTGCAACGCCGGCTCTGTGAGTGATCCAGATACTCGCAGGCTGGGTGGTGGCGCCGGCTCAGGCGTGTGATCAGACCACGCGTCTCGGACGAGCAGGGTAAGAAAAGGGTGACTGGGTGAGTGATCGGGGTCACTCACCGGGGCCAGGTTAGTTAAGTGATTGCATTACTGCGCTACGGTCAATCGTGAATATAAGCTGCTTTTGGATAAACATTCTCTCTCCCTCACCTGGGGAACAGTCGCAGCAGTATTGTGGAACAAGCAGGATGCCATCCCCAATCTTCGGCCGTTCGTCGGACTCGTGATTTGGCTCTGGCTCATCAATCCACCTAAGAGCGTGGTCGAAAGCATGGGAAGCGTGATTCAGGAGGTTTTCAGTGCCCATAGGCAGCTTGACCATTCGAACACTGCCAAAGAGCTCCTGGTGCGGTGGAACGGCCGGGAGCCGTGCAGGCCTGATCCCCTGGTGTCGGCAGTACAGTGGAAGTGCGGCCTCAACTTCCTTAAGAGGTCTGGTGGAATAATCGGCATACTGGAGGGATCTGTTATCAGTCCACACCGCGGGGTGAAGTGTCCGCGCTCTTCCGTGTATGGAGTCCCCACTCAGCAGTGAACGTAGTAATGAAAAGTTTAACCGGCCCAGCTGTATGTATGTACTATGTACGTATGCAATATGCATGTATGTATTTACTATTTACCAACATGAGTGATCCACACATGGCGTGGCGGTTACTGTTCCTCGGAATGTTGCAGTAACCCTGGCAATGTCGCAAGCCAAGTGTAGTAACGAATGGGCAATCATTAGCTAGAAATCACGAGCATATGCGGATCCAGAAGGCGGTCTCGGCTTATAAATACTCGTATTTATCAACATTTTACAGCTTTGTTGTGGTCTGTACCGTAGGGGAGAGCGGGGTGAGTTGTATCATGGACAGGTAGTATCAGAGCGATTTTTGCGAAAACTATCCGTCAGATGGCAGGCTTGTCGCGACTATTTGAGACGCCACGCCGCGCGCCACCTTTCCGTGTTTTGACGTGAACAGGAGCGGACGTGTTTTCAGGTGAGTCCCAATAATGTGTTTTGATGGGTCCGTTGTAAGAAATGCGTTCTTTAGGAAATATATGTTTTTGACTTGAATATGTTGAAAGCTTTCTATTGTTTTACCATTATGCGTGAGTGTCAACATTGCTCTTAATCACAACATAATTCGTTTCGAGCAATGAAACATGGCGGATAGCGTTTCGCAGACCTTTTCTTGAAATGGCCCGCATGGACATGTTGTATCAGGGAGTGGTGGGAATAGTTGTATCAGTGATACAACTTATCCCACTAGTGATACAACTTATCTCAGGTTAAAACATTTTCCATTTCCGGTTTATACTTACATTAGACGGGTCGAAAATGGACTTAAAACAAGGTTGCAAATTGCGATAGATATATCGATAAGTTTTTATAGATAGTTAAGTCTTAGACGCTGCCTATACCTACCTAATTAAATTATATGTCCTGCCATGAAGGTGGATGCTTCCTTTCCCATACCTGCTACATTGCATGATTAAATCGAGACATCCAGGCATTTTAATGGCACGTGCACTGTACCACACTTTTCAAAGTTTAATGCAGTGCTTTAATATTGCCAGCCGTGTGGTTCAAGGGGTGTGGTTAAACGCGTTGAACCACACGGCTGCTGACGTCACTATCAATTATAGTTGTGAGCTTTTTGGCAGGTATGGGAAACACCTTCCAGCCCTAAGGCCGGGAATTCAATAAATGTCACCTCGCTTTTTTAGCGAAAAGCACCTCGGGCCTAACGGCCCTCGGAGTTTTCGCTAAAAAACCTCGGTGACATTTATTGAATCATCCCGGCCCCGGGCAGGAATATATTTTAACCTACGTACTTGCCTATCATTCATATTATTCACGTGACCGTCACTTGCTTCATCCTGTAATCCTAATTCCTGAACGCTTTTTCCAGCTCACGAATGTCATGGGTCGGAGCTACGTCCGAAAGACAGATAGACGGCAGAACAGCCCGGAAGATGTTTTGGAGAGGGCGGCAACCCTAGTCGTTCAAAAAGGGCTGTCAATTAGAGGTGTCGCGAAAAATTTTGGCGTTAACTATCAGACCCTGAACCGTTTCGTCCGCATGAAAAAAGAGGGACGTTTAGGACAGCGCATGGGGTACCAGAACTGCGGAACAAGGGTGTTCACAGATGAGCAAGAATCCATCCTTGAAGGGTATCTGAAGGAGGCTGCCGAAATATTTTTCGGACTGACACCAAAGGATGTGCGCGTCCTGGCCTATGACTGTGCCAAAAAATATGGGATCACTGTGCCTCAATCATGGGAGGACAACAAGATGGCGGGTGTGGAGTGGTTTCGGTCATTTCGTAAGCGCCGAAACCTGGCCGTGAGAACCCCTGAAGCTACTAGCATGGGAAGAGCAAGCGGCTTCAACAGGCACAACGTAAACGAGTTTTTTGCAAAGCTCACGGAAGTTGTGGACCGCTACCAGTTCAGCAAAGAGGACATTTGGAATGTGGACGAAACGGGAGTCACCACGGTGCAAAAGCCACCACAGGTTGTCACCGCTAGAGGTTCGAGGCAGGTGGGGTCTCTGACCTCTGCGGAGCGCGGTGAGCTGGTGACCGTTTGTGCAGCGGTGAGTGCCTGCGGAAATACAGTACCGCCCATGCTAATATTTCCGCGGGTACGATACCAGCCTCACTTCGTGAGAGACGGTCCTCCAGGATGCATCGGCTCCGCGTACCCATCTGGCTGGATGACGAAGGAAAACTTCAAAATCTTCCTCGTCCACTTCGTGAAGCACACGCGATGCTCAAAAGAGAGGCCGGTGCTTCTTCTTCTCGACAACCATGAAAGTCACCTTGGCGTAGAGGCTGTGACCTACGCTAAGGAAAACGGCGTGGTCTTGCTGTCATTCCCGCCCCACTGCTCGCACAAACTGCAGCCTCTCGACAGATCAGTGTACGGTCCACTGAAACGATACCTTGGATGCGCACAGGCGAACTGGCTTCGCAACAACAGAGGGCGCACAATGACTATCCACGACATCCCCGGCGTACTCCGCGACGCCTGGGCAAGTGCCAGCACACAGGCCAACATCACGAGCGGGTTCCGCGTGTCGGGCATAGTTCCGCTTAACCCTGAAGTCTTCTGTGAAGCAGACTTCTGCCCGTCACAAGTAACAGATCGTCCAAGAGACGCTGGAGAGGACGGTGCAAGAGCAACTGGCACTCCTCAGCACGTGTCGGACCCGAGCAGCGCTCCTCAGCGCGCGCCGGACCCGAGCAGCGCTCCTCAGTGCGCGCCCGGCCCGAGCAGCGCTCCTCAGTGCGCGCCTGGCCCGAGCAGCGCTCCTCAGCGCGCGCCGGACCCGAGCAGCGCTCCTCAGTGCGCGCCTGGCCCGAGCAGCGCTCCTCAGTGCGCGCCTGGCCCGAGCAGCGCTCCTCAGTGCGCGCCGGGCCCGAGCAGCGCTCCTCAGCGCGCGCCGGACCCGAGCAGCGCTCCTCAGTGCGCGCCTGGCCCGAGCAGCGCTCCTCAGTGCGCGCCGGGCCCGAGCAGCGCTCCTCAGCGCGCGCCGGACCCGAGCAGCGCTCCTCAGTGCGCGCCCGGCCGGAGCAGCGCTCCTCAGCGCGCGCCGGACCCGAGCAGCGCTCCTCAGTGCGCGCCTGGCCCGAGCAGCGCTCCTCAGTGCGCGCCTGGCCCGAGCAGCGCTCCTCAGTGCGCGCCGGGCCCGAGCAGCGCTCCTCAGCGCGCGCCGGACCCGAGCAGCGCTCCTCAGTGCGCGCCGGGCCCGAGCAGCGCTCCTCAGTGCGCGCCCGGCCCGAGCAGCGCTCCTCAGTGCGCGCCGGGCCCGAGCAGCGCTCCTCAGTGCGCGCCGGACCCGAGCAGCGCTCTCCTGGAAGTGACTGACTGTGAGGACGCTTCGCACCACTTGACTGCCAGTAGTGCAGACGAAACGTTTTCTCCGAAGGCAGTTCGACCCATCCTTAGTGGTCATCTTCCTGCGAGGAAATCGCAGCGAGGGAGAAAGAAGAGGAGTTCGATGGTGTTGACGGACTCGCCAGTAAAGCGAATGCTCGAAGAAGAACAAGCAAAGAAGAAGCCCAAGACCGGGAAGGCAAATTCGAAGGAATCAGGAGCCAAGAAGAGGACGGTAAAAGCCCAAGGAAAGAAGACTAAGAAGCGAGTGAATAAGTCAGCGTCGAGGTGCGAGGCGTATGATTCCGATGCAGAGGAGACGTTCTGCCTCGTGTGCGTTGAGCCGTATTCCAATAGCAGACCAGGAGAACAGTGGATACGGTGTTCGGCATGTGAACGCTGGGCACATGAAGCTTGCATCAATTCCGATGGTGCCGGTCTCTTTGTGTGCCAGAACTGTGATTCTGACGACTCGGATTTCGCGTACTAGTTTGACACATGAGTTGACTGCAGAGTTCGCAGTGTTGGCTTAATGTTAGCAGACTACTCTGCCTTGTTCCTTTCACAAAATGGTTTGTCATCGAGAGAATGATGCGAAATACACGGTCTCATGGCAAGGGACGCCTTTAATATTTATTATATAAACACGGACGACGGACAAACAGATTTCGACATGTGTTTATATTGCAGAAATGATATGATTTTCTTATGGGTCGTGCGTACACTAAAGCGACATCAGGAAATGGCTGAGCTGATCTGCTGGCTGGAGCTGGGCTTTTTAATCAGGATACCTACTTGTATCATTCTTCGGACTGCGTAGAAGTGTAAGTAAGTCGCATTTTCTATCATAAAACATTGATACATCTTAACTCACCAGGCAGTACAACTTACCTCACTAGTGGGGCAAATGGTACCAGTTGTAGTGGTCCAATTTAAAGCGAGGTGTAGCCAAAATAAGAAACCGTAGCATGACGTGCGGTAGAATGCATGTAGAGAAAGGTTGTAGCTTTCGTTTGGTATATCAACGGTAACTTTATTCGTTAAATCTAGGGAGATATATGACCTGAAGTAAAAAGTGATACAACTCACCTCGTTCTCCCCTACATGGTGACCGTGGACGGACTGATCTGGACGCGCCACGCCGGTCAACTGCTTCCAGTGCTTCCTCTTCCATAGGAACAGACAACCAACAGGGAGACCGGTGATGCTAGGGAAAACGTACCAGTGCTGCTGGCGATACCGACGATCAGCATAGGACCAACTGAGGAGACTCGGAGAGAGCGTACCGGCGCCGCCGACGACACACACGATCAGCACGTGACCGACTAACGTCGAGACGCCCAACACGCCGAGTTAATCTACGCAGTGGCGCCCCAATAGGAAGTTCGAACGGCCGACACATCATGCGGAAGGGGTGACGCGACTGACTTCAACTGTAACGAAGCACAAGGACCCTCCCGGTGAGGTTTTATGCACGCGGTTGCACGTTTTTTCGGATGCGAGCGAGTTGACGTATTAGGACTCGGCTGTCGCCTACTTGGCTACACTGTGCGTTTTCTGCGAGCGTTTTTTGCGAGTTTGCGATATTTGCGGAATATTGTTCTACCGAAAAAAAAACGGTAGAAAGAAACGACATTACGTTGCTGTTGTTTTTTTCAGATAAACTTTTAATTAATATAAACGTTTTGTAAGCTTTTATATAAATATTATAGAAGTTATATTAATAATAACTTTTTTCTAGAACGATATTACACAAGACACGCAAACTCGCAAAAAAAAACGCACGCAGAAAACGCATAGTGTAGCCAGGCCTTTAGAGAAGAGGGTCCGGACTCGGAAGGAGGGAGGGAGGGACAACGGAGGGAGATAAAAAGGAGTTTGTGACGTTCCTGCTGACGCTACCGCTGAACTGCACGGAATGAACGATGGCGAGTGGCGACGACCCGGACCGTCAAAGGGGAAGCGACCATCGTTGTTCCACCGGCGACGGACGAACTTTGGGTTGACCTAGAAGCGCAGGCGCTCGTCGGTGTTACGTGGACTTTTGTGGAGCTGTCTGGGTCAATCGACCTCCTCTACCTACTTCAGCGTCAGCGCCCGTGCCGAGCTGCTGGATGCAGACGGCCATTAGCTGCGGTAGCTTGTATGTCTCCAAAAATTGGTGGATGAGCTTGGTGAATAATTTAGTTAAGAGGTTTGCGTGACACCGAGATCCATTGTAGAAATCAGCCCCCGTTCACGAGCTCCAGAATCCCTTTACCGTGACGTCACCACGGCGGTAGAATCTCCCTTCACCCATGGGCATGCATGCAAATTTCATCATCTTTCGAGCGAGCTGGAGAAAAAAAAAACAAGGATTATGTGTCATCAAAAGTTGTACCAATATAACAATGAGTTCGCCTCATTACGATAAATGGGGCTGAAACAAAAAACCTAAGACTAGATCGAGCCAAATCAACAATTTAAATGATCCCTTCATTTGAACGTGAAGGATTTCCTCTGATGACGTCACCACGGCGCCTTTATTTCCCTAGTGAACCAACCTGAGTAGGTAGTAAAGGAATCTTGGTAGAAATAGCCGTAATTGAACGGTTACCTATTCTTCGGTGTCCTGCCGTACGTGTTGCAGCCGTTTGTGACGGTGTACCACGTAAGCAGTTTCTAAGATTTTATCAACGGGCCGAGTGCGTCCGCCTGTTACGCGTTAATACCGCGTTACGTCAATGGGTCGTTTGAGTGTCCACTGTCCGTGCTCTGCCGGTGAAAGGGGTACACCTCTGCGTTGTAGCGGAGTGATTTTACGGAAAATGTGCGGTGATGTGATAATGGTCAAATACAAAGTTATTTTTTGTTAACTTTCACCCAATAATTATGTTCACCCTGATCTGCACACTACAGTGGCTGCCAATGAATGCGATACTGCGCTGAATATAGAGCACGTAGAGGTCGCGGCGGCATGGTAGCTGTTCTGTTGCCTAGGTCACTTGTCTGTATTATGGCTGTCGGAGCAGTTTGCTTACTCAATTTGGCCTACGAATCGCGCTACCCCCCCCCCCCCCATTCCACCTTCCACCGCGCCTATCCCAGCCCGGCTAGCCCCTGGTGAAAGATACCAGCGCCCCTGGTGATGGCAGTCCTCTTCAATCGACGTTGAACGTCTTAAAACTGCCTACATAGAGTGGTCATTCGCTCCATAGAGATCTTATATACATAAGATGTATATATAAGATCTCTATGATTCGCTCAGCACGAAATGAAAAGCTGAGTGCAGCAGAACACGAATCATGGGAAGCCTGTGGCCTTGCGCCATTCTGCGTACATGTTGACATCAACCACAAACTGTATCGTTACAAGACCGGCAACAACACCATCCGTCCATATCACGATGAAACGGTCATTAAATTCCCAAAAGAAGTGGCCTCTCACTTGGAAAAACTGAATACCATCAAAAGTGTGTGCGCATTTGGATGCCAGTTATGCGTCGGAAGAGTATTCGTTATTTGTGGGTAATGCCTTTTTAACATGCATGTCCAGATCAACATTTTGTTTTATTTCCAGAACATAATCCATTGTGGCTGGTCGAGATGGTCGGCGGCCAAGAACAGGTCGCCGGCTCTTCCGTCAAAGCGAAGCCAAGACGAGACGAGACTCGTGTGTTTAGTGTACAGTGTTACGTGGTGTTTAGTGGTGCCCTGGCTGAGTGTAGCATTGTGACTAACGGCATCGTTGTCTCGTTTTGCATGCTGGTCTTGTCGTCGAGTTCTGCTCCGCCCTGACCAAACCCCTTGGGACGAGGGGGCAAGGAAGAGACGCTCGAGATGGTGTCAGGGAGACCTCAAACCAGGCCTTCATGATATAGCTATGCTGTACATTCGGAGGCGGCCGACCTGGAGAAGCTTCGTAGCTCGGAGTCAACTCACACCAAGGTGGTGAGCATCGTTGACGACTTGCGTCGCCTACACCAATAGTCAGCTGGTACCTAGTACCTACCCATGGATAAAAAAAAACGCAAGAGGCATGTTTTCATCCATGTCTGAGCCGTCTCCACTGGCGCCCGAGAGACGGGACAGCGCACCGGCTCTCGCGCCCTCATATTAAAGCTCGTACCCCCGAAAGACGGCCTGTCGTAAGATATGCCAGACACCACAGGCGTAAGCCTCGGCGTAATGCCGCGCGGAGTAATTCCGCAAAACTCCTAACCTTCAACTTTTCTAGCTGCTTCTCGATCGTCTGCTTCATCTGTCGTCCCGGGTCGTAAGACGCGGGACCCTTCCTGCTGTCCTATCTTCGATGACAAAGAAGGCTTCCTTCCGGTCGTCATATCTAAGGCGTCAGCCTTGGCGGCCGCAGCGTCAGCCACTCCTCTCGGCCCGATCGAATCTCCTCTTCCCAAACCTGACGGACTCAACCGGCGGACCATCACGGTGGTCCAACTGACCCCCGAGTGGAAGGCAATTCCACTGGCCGAATTTGATCACCTTATGGACAATGACACCATGAGCACCCCAGGTGCAAAGCGAATGAAGAAACGGAGCATGGAGTGCGTGTGTCTGGCATGCGGGACGGATGAAAGTCAGTGTGAGTGCGGGGAGTGGGAAGTCTTAGAACAACCCACTTTCTAGTGTGAGCGTCCAAAGTCGCTGTACCCCATGGGGGGGGGCTCACACAGGAGCCGATAAGGCCCCTCCGCAGGGCGAACAAGGTGCACAAAACACCTAAGCGCATCTTTGAGAGCTCCCGTGGGAACGCAGCCGTTGACTGGAGGCGTGTGTGTGCGGAGACGTGTGATGTCGACTGGCGGGGTGTTTTTGGACGGGGGAAGAGTGTCGACGTTGATGAGGACGATCATACCGAACCTGTCTATTGCCGACCCAAACCGATTACACTTGGCGATTTCTTCCCTTCGAAATTCTTCAACATTAAAAAAGGCTCTCGCGCCCTCCCCATCCCGAGGCAGACACGGGATCGGCCGTCCAGCAAAGCTGAACCTGCAAGTCCCGTCTGTATTGGAGTTGTTGCCAGTACCACCTACCCTCGTCTGTCCGTTCACTTTCTACAGAAGAGGTATATGGTAGGCCGAAGTAAGGTCGTATAGGTAAGGGCAGAAGATGTACCAACCTGCTGGAAGAGTACCACTGGAGTCATCGCTATGGTTTTTGTGGAAAGCACCATACTTCAGTAGGGTTTGATCATGCCACGGCTAACGTGTTAGCGTACATTGCCGGCTACCTCGCGCGAAGAGGCTGCCAGGGACACGCCTGTGCTACTTGTACCGAGGCCCTAGTCGCCTCGGAAAAGATACCCAACTGTGACCGAACCACATTTACAGCTCTCTAAAGCTTCACGGGTGATGACGAGGACGTGGGCAGCCTGTACGTTGTGAGTGACATGTTCTATAACTATGTCCGCGAGTATTCCTCCCTCACGGTGGTTCTGTGCTCCGATAACAACCTGCAAAAGATGAGGGAGATTTTCTTCCGAATGCAGCTTTATAAGCACCTGCAGAAAAGGTCTCTGAGCTAGCAAGGCAAACCGAAAGCTCCTCAAGCTGACGGCGAGTCGGGATAACCACTGTGGTGTAGGGGAGCGGGTAGCGTCCCGCTGGGGGAGCAGCCGTCCCCTCGGGACGACCAACCCCGCCAGGTGCTGACGGAGCACAGCCTCGGTCGCAACGAGGCGCCCCACCGCGCCATGGAATGTTTGCCCTTGGTCTTGTTAAAAATTGTGCGCGTGGGGTATTTAGGCAGGGGTTTCACGCCCGATTCGAACTCCGCCCGCTCACTGCTGCCCACTGTGTCTCGTTGTTTCTGTCACACTTCCCGACACAACACTGAAGAGCGTATTTCTGCATTACGGCGTCCAAGAACGGTGCGACGGCTACGAGAGGACAGGGGCACGTCCGCACGGTGCCAGTGTCAGCAAAATGGCCCGTTTTTAAGTTTTCTTGAACTCAGACGATTTGTTCTGCGAAAAGTCTAAAGTAAAGCAATTTTTGTTCTGTGAGCAAACGTTCCCTAAACAGATAGCCAATGACTTTTGTGTAACAAAGTACCTCTACCCATCTATGTCAGGTCTATCAGGCATGATGGACCATTTCACAATGGGTCACTTAATAAAAACTCAACTGCCTGCCCATTTTGACTGATTTTTTTCTTCAGCAGATTAAGTCATCTCTCTCCAGTCTCCATGGCCACTGAATGAAGACCTGGACTCCTCAATAGAATGCAGTGCAAACTTAAACTACTGACCTACTACCAAGAACCAGCACCGCCTGATTCTCTTGGTTCACCAGCTAACAGCTGTTAGCAAAACTTTCACTGGCAACCTCGTCCCTCGCAATGACTGGTATAAGATTGGCAGCCTGTTTTGTGTTGTGAACATGTTATCTGTGATCATACAGTGTGTGCGTTAACAATAAATCATGTATTTTTTATACAAATGATGAAAATTGTGTCACTTTCAACATCTGGTTAAACACATGATACGAACGAAGGAAGTACACAGCATGCAGGAGCTGGAAATGGGCAATGCCCCAATGGATATGCAAACTAAACGTTATCAGGTGAGATAAACCTGAAAAGCTTGACTGATCCATATCCATATTAGCATGCAGAGCCTTCAAAGTGGTGAATGCTAAAAAAAATTAACTGACAGGCGACAGCACCTAATAACGTACCTAGTCAGGTGAGATAAACCTGAAAAGGTTGATTAGGTAATTTACATGTACCTACACTGGTCTGAGACACAACACTCTTTTTATGTTTTATGGAGTTTTATGTAGTTTTATGGAGACAAAAGGCATCAGCGTGAGCATATTTTACCGGCTAGTTACGTGCTCGTAGTGGATCAGATTCAAGATACCATCTTCAAAAGTCTTCGTTTTCCTCTTCGTAAAAAAAACAAGTAAAACCTTTCGGATCAAAACTGATATCGCAGATCGACATTTATTCAAAGACAAAACATTAGACGAGCTGATGCAGCATATCACGCTAAAGCGTCCGGAATGGAAGAGGAGGGTGGTGAGTGAACTTGGAGACGCCAATGTCATTGTTGGCTCTAAAGTCCGCGTTCAGAGGATCAGGAGTGAGTGGTTCTTTGAATCAACGGACAGGGGCCTTGTCGAAAAGGTGAACCGCTTCGGCTATGAGGTAGTGGTCCGGATCGTGCGCGAACGTGTGCCTGCCTCACAAGGACAAGTGGAGTGAGATCAGCGGTCATGTAGAGTGTAGGAGTCTTGCACGAGTCCCAGGACATTTCGTGAAGGTGTATGTTTATGTAGATAAGTATGTAGTAAGTCGGTGTATGCCAGTGTCGTATCATGTATTAATCGAGAATAACATTGTGTCATTCTGTAAGAAGTTTGTTGTGCAGAGTGCAATTGAAACTGGATTTAACCTCAAGGCGACTCATGGCATTCTGTTGCGTGAGCTTGAACTGAGTGGTGATGCTTTTATTAATGAGCAGTTTTTGCGCAAGCAACTGTACAAAATCATGGCCAGTGTTCGGCTCAGTCAGAGGAAGGGAATTGTAAATGTAAATATTATAAATAGGGCCAAAGGACGCTTTACTGTAAAAGGTCACATAATAGAGCGCCATGGAACAGGAAACACTGCTGCACGAAGTGACTGTCGGCGCGGTGAGGCACCCTCCCACCCCGGCACTCAGCGCGGCAAGGCGCACGCCCAGGTCGGCCCACAGCTCGGCGAGGCGCCCGCCCAGGTCGGCTCACAACTCGGCGAGGCACCCGCCCAGGTCGGCTCACAGCGCGGCGAAGCGCCCGAGCAGGTCGGCCCACAGCTCGGCGCCCGCCCAGATCGCCAGCGCGGCGTGGCGCATTCGGAGGTGACGCCGACCCGCCGAAGGAAGAGACTGGCGGCGCAAGGGCTCCGCCACGGACTTTTGGTTGGGGGGGACGGGGGACAATTCTTCGCTCATCGCCCTGTGTCTCCTCTAAACCTAGGGTACCCCCAAATCCTGTTTTCTCATCGGATTTAGGCCACTTATTTTTCGTCATAGCCCTGGCACGATTTTTTTTTTAAAGTAAAAAATAAATATAAAAAAAATGGTAGGCCCAGTGGCTCCGCCACGGAATTGAGGTTAAGGAAGGGGGGGGAGGCGTCTCGCAAATCAAAGACGGTTTTAAGAATAGCGGGCGGCCAGCGGCCCGGCCACCCAACAAATGTTGGGCGGCCGGGCACGGATTAGGCCGGACGGGGTAGGGCGGAGGCTCTTCGCCGCTCGGAGCGATGCCCAGACATGAATAAGTACATGCATGTATCTACTTGTCGCGAATTCAGTTCATTTTTATTTTACATCGTTTGTTGATGGAAAGATATACCTACATAACACCTTAGTTTAAACAATGTTGTTGTCACCTTTTATGCAAAAACAAAGAGTAATATAGTTAATGCACTCGGGATAAATTGATCAGCTACTCTACATGCATCATCCACAAAATCCAGTCAATATCACGATATGTATTCACCATATGTTGGCCATTACGAGAACAGCGCTTCAATGCAAACGTTTGTTACCCTGCCCCAAACATTCTCAAACTATTGCAGCTAGCTTCAATGCCTTCATCTGATTGGCACTCATACATCACAAATATAGATATTCACAATCTAGGGTATCACTTCACTGCAGGTGATAGCGTCGGCCTCCGCCCACGCCGCCTCGCACCTCTACCCACGCGAGGCGGCGCCCCCTGACCACCGACCCGTCACGCGGGCCCACAGGCGGTCCGCGCGACGGGCCGGCGGCCCGGCCACCCAACAAATGTTGGGCGGCCGGGCACGGGTTAGCCCGGATGGGGTAGGGCGGAGGCTCTTCGCCGCTCGGAGCGATGCCCAGACATCATTCGCTCACGTATCATTCAGTATGGGGACATCAGCTCCTCAAAACTTTCCGAAAATCATCCGACGGGAATCATTCCTACTAGCAAATTCCCCCGCCAGGGCGCGAATGTCGACCGTTTCGAGGCGATCCTTATGAACGTGGCATAGGGCCACGGCGTTGAGGCGCGTTTGACCCATAGTTGACCTGAGCCACGATTTTAGCCTCCGCAGAGCACTAAAGCTGCGCTCTGCTGTAGCCGTGCTGGCAGGAGGAAGGAGCAGAAGTTTCAGCAAGGTTTTCACCTGAGGCAAGAGCATTCGTGAGTCTTCAGACATACTCTGGTATTCAGCTGCGGCTTCTGCAAGGCAGCTGAAGTTCTTTGCGGCTTTGAAAACATGAAGCTGGGGAGTTCAGATCACTTGGCCACACATCCATGCTCTTTTTCACAGTTTCCAGGTGAGTCAGGTCAGCTGGTCCCAAAAGAAGTCTCTCGAGCTTCTCCTGCTGCCGCACACCAGCGCCCTCAAACCGTTCTGAGATCTGCATGCAGGCGGTGTCCAGCACCTTCACCAGCTCTATCCGGAAAAATTCTCGGGGTCCGGTCACTTTGTGGCCGGGTGCGTTGCCTGTGAGACGCTTTGGTGGGCAGATCTGCCTTGGGACAGTTGGTGCCTCCAGCTCCAGCGGCGATTCTTCAACAGCCTGCAGCGCGCGGCTGACTGTCTCGTCAGCACACTCGCGCACACCCGCCATGAAGTCACGAGTGGCTCTGGCGCCCTCTGAGAGATCTGACACCGTGCAGGTTTTTCTTTGTAGGCGACGGCTCAAGTGGTCCAGTGGCGCCAGCATCGTACGCGCCATTACTAGCGACACGTACATGTTCCCCGACCTCATCTGTTCTAGCAGGCCACCAGCGCGCGTAGCCACGTGTCCGCGACCCTGCGACAGTTCTTCCAGAGTTTTGACGATTTCACCGTACATTTCGATCGTGGTGTTCACGGCTTCCAGCCTGGCTGTCCACCTTGTTGGGCAGAGTGGCCTAAGCTTCGCCATGGGCGCCTCTCCTGTTCCGTCACAGACGGCCTTGAACTTTTTCCTGAAGTGTATTGAGTCCTTGAATAGAACACCGAGTTCATTCACGTTCTGTAGGGCCTTTGCGATGGACCTGGACGCCGCACACGCATCGTTCACTACAAGATTCGTGCAGTGGGCCCCGCAGTGGACAAAAACAGCCAATGGCTGATCCTTCCTGATGATCGCTTGAGCTCCTTTGTAGACCCCCGACATATTCGCAGCTCCATCGAACCCCAATCCTCTTAGGTGCTCCAGTGGCAGGTTGAGTCTCAGCAGCACATCTTTCAGCATGTTTGCGATCGCCTCACCTGTTGTTTCAGTCAGTTCATAGAAGCCTAGAAACTCCTCATGCACGTTCAATTCACTGTCAACATAGCGCACGCAGACAGTTTCCTGCTCCAGTCCCGCGCAATCCTGTGTGCCGTCAACCATGATGGCGAAGAGCTCCTCGTCGGCCACTTCCTTCGTAATACCTCGGACAACCTCTTGGCCCAACATCTCCAGCATTTCATTTTGTATGTCTGGATGGGTGAACTTTTTCTCGCGCTTCATCCACGATCGAAGCTCGGCACTGTCCTCTGAACGAAGTTTGAGGAGACTGATGAAATTCC